TGAAAAAAAAATCAGGGGAACTTAGGGACCCCAGTAGGCGCAGTCAACAAGTTTAGCTTTTCAGGCATCGAATTGAGTAAGAATCTCTCACCCTATTATATGTTATGGAATTGAAGTCTAATTAACAATAATAGGATATTTTGTGCAATTTAGAAAATATTCATAATTAATTACGGGTTACTAATGGAGTTAGAATCAGAAACTATTCACTGTTGATTCTGTAAATTTATTTTACAGTTTAAATGCATGATAGTATTTGATTGATCGATTTTATAGCTTTGAATACATGTATTATTTGTTTTGTATGGTTACGGTTGAATTGGAAAACTAGAGATTAAAGATAAACGAAAAATTGTGTGATTAAGTGAATAGATGAAACGACAACCTTACTGGATATCCTGGGAGATGGTGGACGGACCAGGTACATAAAAAACTCTACTGTGAACGTTGCCTCATACCGGATGGAGTATCGAGGCTTTATAATTTAGTACTCATTCCGGACGAGGTATGGGGACGGCCCATTTCACCATCATAGCAGACGGGGTATTGAGGTTTAATAATTTGACACTCATACCGGATGGGGTATGGGGACTACCCATTAATTGAAAATATTAAAAGAAATGATTTACGCATTGTAGAGACATCCCTATGAAACCTCATAGATACCAGTAAGCTGATAAAAGAGAAAATTGTCATTCTTACCAATTGCATATGAAATTATGATATGTTTTATGTTATTATCTCTACAGGTTGTTTTTGTAAATCTCGCTACGGCAAATGGACGGTAAATGATTTTATTATTGATAAATTAATTTGCTTAATTAAGTGCTCTATTAGTTGTTTTTAATTTTTCTACCAACTTTTATTTCTGCGTCGGTGTGTAGTGTGATATTCTTACTGGGTTAGTGTAACTCATTCCTTATTTAACCATTTTAGATTAAGAGAACCAAGATTCAGAGCCCGATTCATAAGAGGGCTGCGAGTAGAATGCCAATTTTATTTTATTTTCCGTTTATTTCATTAATTTTTTGTATTTCCTTCAAAATGGTAATTCTCATATCACTATTTGATACTTTAAATCATTGTGTTAGGAATGTAAACCCTAACTAATCATTTCGCTTCCGCATTTAATTTATAATTTATTTCTTTTAAAATTTCGAGAATGTTAGACTTATAATTTGGGTTTATATAATATTCAATTGTTTCTTTAATGAGTTATAATCCTTTCATATATGTAGATGTTGTTCTTTCTTTAACATTTTTAACTCTCAACTTTTTAACTTCTTGTAGTATTTTAAATAAAAAAATTTAATCGTTACAAAATTTTTATTTTGATTAAAAAAGTAATAATCTTGTTAAAACTTGATTATCATTCTACTAAATTAAGCATTAAAATAATTTATTATTGTTAGTTCGACTTGTTGTAAATATTTTAACGAAGAACAATATGATTATTACTAAATTTTCATTTCACTAAAAATTATTGTCCTATTGAATAAATATTTATAATTCAAGTTATTATATATTCTTAATAATGTTAAAATTCACGATCTTCAAGTAAAATATAAGCTTCTCTTAAATTATTATTATTTATAATAGACAGGCAAAAATCATGATTGTGAAACCATAACTTTATCTTTTTTAAAAGACCAAAATTAATCTTATGAGTTGGGCCTAATACTCCAAGCCTTTGTTTTTGTTTTTGTTGTGGATGGACTTCCCTTCAGACTTATGTTAGTTGTGGGCCTCATCTCATCCCAGGCCTATTACGTAAAAATACAAGTTCTAAAGAAAAAATTATGCTTATAGATCAAATATTAGAAATTAATGCTAGTTTTTTTTTTCTTAAAAAAAAAAGACAAATTATATATTTGGGAAAAATGGTTTTTGAGATTTTAAGTATAAATTTTAATAAAAACTAAAATTATTTTCTAAAAATTACATATTATATTTTTTGTATTTAAATGTGTTAAAAATTAGATTTTAGCTTTTATTTTTTACTAAAAATAGTTTGAATTTTATGTATTTAGTTTTAAAAAATATATTTTCGGAATACAAAAGCCAAGTTAAAAACCCAACCAAATGCAACTTAAGAAACTGGAGAAAATAAAAAATCAAGCAACCAAATGGAATTAAAATGATTTGCTAAGTATCAAAAATCAAGAGTTCTACAAAAAATTTACGAATTAGTACGATAAAAATAGTTAAAATCTCTCAGATGATTCAGTTATTCATTAACCCACTGGCAATTCATATGATTAATGCATGTTGATTATAGTCATCAGTGGTAATTTTACACATATTTAAACTAAAGTACTGTTTTTCTAACTTAAGCTGAAAAAACGAGACCTCCTTCTTCTCCTTCTTTCTCTCCTTCTTCATCTTCTTCTTCTTCATGTAACTTGATCTTCTGGTATGTTGTGGCTGCGAATTGACTATCAGAAACCACGTAATCAAAAGGTGCAGTCAATGGGTAAACAAATAACTCCCTCAAGTTCACAGGCCCAACTACTCCAGGATCTGCACTCCACATCAAATGTGCCATTTGTTCGTTTGCCTTCTCTGTCCCATGTTCCCCGTCGAAGAACAAGTACTTCCCCGGCTTCTCGCATTTCTTTGAATCATCCCCTTCATCACCATGTTTTATCTTACATGCCCCTGTTTCTCGAATAGAACAACACGCGTTCTTCTTCCTGAACCCTTTTAAGCAAATGTTTATACATCAATTATAACATTACTTTCAATTAAGTACATACATAATCATAATATAACTTTTAAATAAAAACTATAGTTTGACTCCAACCTAAAAGAACCAGACTCCAAATTAACTTATACTTTGAGTCGAACCTAAAAAAACCGGACTTCAAATTAACTTACATAATATAGCTTTAAAATACATAGATGTTTAGAGGTTGGTAGATACCATAGATTTTAACACTGTTGAGTCTCAGAAAGACAGCATCGTAGTAATTGAAGACAGTGAATTGGAACCCATCTAAGGTTTTAACTAACTTCTGCAGTGTCTCCAAAAGCTTTATATTGTGCAGTGCCGCCATGATTGTGGGTAGTTCAGCACATTCATGGTTACTTTCAAATAATTTATCTGCCACTGGTAAGCAACCCAAGGGTGCCAAATTCTGGAAGGCAAACTTCCTCCCTCCTCCTCTATATATGGTCTGCATTGAAAACCCAGATCATCATTTACAGATCTACTCGTATATACACACATAAATGGGTTCATATGTGTTAAATTACTTACCTTGAGGACTTGCTCTATCTCAAGAACGACATTGTTTATGAAATTTTCTTGGTCAAAGAAAGAAGGATCAGAGTGGGTTAGAGTGTAATTCAAGTAGTCTTGAGTTCCAATGTAAAACAAGTAAAGAGCTTCTTCTCGCTCTTGTTGGGTCCATTTTCGCTTGTTCCTCTCAAAAGTTCTCCCTTGATTAGCGAAAGTCATCTGGAATTTGAGCAGGACATATTCATAAACAAATACATATAGTCGATATATACATGGAGTGAAAAGAAATAGGTTAGAATGAGGGTAAGTGGTTTAGTTACCAGACTCCTGGAGTCTTTACCAAGAACACTAGCATCAGCAATGGCGAAACTTGCTCCATGACTTATATCTGCTTGCTTCTCGAGAAAAGGTGGAACTTGAGGAATACCCAAGAACCCAGCTGATCTCCAGACAACCAAAAAACATCATACATGTCAATATAACCATATATATAGATAAGCTGGGATTACTGATAAACTGTTAAAGGATGAAATTAGAGAAGAAGAGGATGATGGGATGATTAATTACCAATATAATCTGGGATGATCAACCCATCAGACCATCTTCCAGTGGGTCGGCCAAGAGTCATCCCGTAGGGGAAAAAGTTGGCCGGAACAGGGTGATTACTGACAAACTGCTTGTTACCGGGATCATAGAGGGAATCCCCAAAAACGAAGAGCTGCTGGCCATTGCAGGTTCTAATTGGATTAATCAGAACTGTGATGCTGAGAAACAAGAAGAGATGATACGACTTCAGATTTCCCATTTTAATCTTTATCATGTTTTTGTTTATTCTCCCCTCAAATCCCTCTCTCTCCACTTCTATTTACGCCGCTTTGAGTTCGTGGTATTACCATCTCCTCCCTTCACCCAATTTTTTACTCAATATTATTATTATTATTATTATTAGTGTTATTATATATATACGCGTGATTCACGTGCAGGGAAAAGTTGATATGAAGATATATAATTAGATTATCTTTTAAAATAAAGTAGATTCCATAATTTATTACAACAACAAGTGATTATTTACGCAAGCAATAAAGTTGAATATTTTATTATCAAATTATGAATTTTTTTTTATAAAAAATTGTATGTATGAATTATATTATTATTATTTTTTATCTAAATTCATTAAAAAATTATATTATAATAAATACACATATTTCTATTAAAAATTTCCACAATTGAGTCCAGTACTAAGTTAATATTTGGATCTTTATATATAAACATATGAAACAAATAAGCCACGTAGAAAGTTTTATTTTTTAGAGGAAAAATATTTATAATAGCAAAGAATTTTTTTAATAAAAATTATGAATTCAAATAGGATCATTTCTTTTTATTTAAAAATATATTATGATAAATATGTAAATAAAATTTAATTATATAAAAAAATATATGTATTTATTAAAAAATTTATTTGCACGAGGCAGACCACGTTGAAAGCTCCTTTCCCCAAAGAAAGTGTGGTATGGGATCCCTTTTCGATTTTCTCTCCTTATTTTATTATAAAATTCTGACATAGTTTTTGTACATTAACTAATTTAGACATATGTGCATATATATATATATATATATATAAATGTAAATATTTATGTACCTTGCATTTAATAAGTTGGTGGATTCAAGTCAACTGAATTGAACGCACCACAGTTGGGTTGGATTTCTTTTCTCAAGATATGATACATATGCATCAAGTTGTAATTAAATATAATCAAAGATATATTGAACTCAATGTATATGATGATTCTATAGCAGTTATATATTAAAAACTTTAGTTTGCATCAATACCCATGCATGCATGTGCATGATTTCAATTTTCAATGTGTTAGTTTGCCACCCACGATTCAATTTTTAATGTGTTAATTTGTCAGACACCATTTTAATTTTTAATGTATTAGTTTACTTAACACAACACGGTATCGATTAATCATTAATCATAAATTATTATTTATTCTAATAATTAATATTATAAGATTAAATCATGAATTTTAAGTAAATTATATTTTTATTTGTGTCATTACATAAAAGTTTAATTTGCACTAATTTTATCATTACCCATGCATGCATGATTTAGATTCATGTACATACATAAATTAAATTTTTATATATGTTATTATTTAAAGATGATTTATATTTTCGAGTTTCTCTCTTAGTTAGTTTAATCTTTTATATTTTAAGTACGTTTCTGGTTTTTCGTGTAAGGGATGTTAACTGAAATTTTGATCTCGCTTCCGCATTTGATATATTTAAATACTCATTTCATTTTAATGTTTCCGGAGCCGTTACATATGTTATTATTTAAAGATGATTTATATTATATTATATTATATTATAATTAGTATACTTATTTCATTGTAAAATAATATTCTAACATGCACGTGATGAATTAATATAAATGATTAATAAAAACCTTTAAACGCACTCAATCCTTAGATACCTTTCTTGTCCTTTTTCAATGTTAAATATAATTAGATAATTAATATATAAAGTTGATTAATGCAGTGTAGTTGTTCATCCAAATCTACATAAAGATAAGGATGACATATATATATATATATATTATATCTTCGAAATTAATTAGCCATTTAATATGATTTTCCAAAGCAACAGGCACGTGGGTCTATCGGATTTATTACGATTGATATTATTTTATATTCTCGTTTGATTAAAAACTTTGTTTTTTTTTATATTAAGAGCTATTTTTCTTGGTTTCTGGGTAATAAGATTCTAAATTTATCACATTATTATTATTTTATTTATTTATTATATATGGAAAAATAGCTGAAAATTCTGAACTCCCATTCTGCCTGATTAATTTCTATATTAAATGTTGACAATGAATGGCAATTACTTGAAGTGAAATTAATATACGTACAACTACATATAAATATATCTATCTGTCACTGTAATATCTAATCTCCACGTTTCTCTAATTCCCATAAAAGGGTACATTTTTGAAATTATTTAAATAAATATTTAATTTGGATGTATGGAGACTGGTTGAAGCTATCCCATTCACATAAATAATTTATTTTAAATTTTCATACTAAATATATATAAATAAAATATGAGTATATATACCATATTAAAAAAATATGCCTTCATAAACTTACTTAATGAAACTTGGATATATTATTTTAATCTTTCTCCATAAGATTATATTTTTAAATTAAATTGTGTGTATGAGAAAGTTGATTGTATTGTTTGCTTTAATTGTGTTATTATTAATTCGTAAGTAATATTTAATAGTTGAAATATTTAAAGTATTATTTAATTATTAAAATGTCTGAATTTTTATTTTTATTTATAAAAAAAAGATAATTACGAGTACAACAAGATAAGAAAAGAAAATTGTGGAATTAAGACTTGTAGCTGATTTATTGCAGATGATAAGGCAGTACTACACCAGGCAGTGATACATATATATATATATATATATATATATTAATTAAAACTTAAGGATGAACAAACAGCTCCCTCAAGTTCATTGGGAAAACAACACTTGGATCAGCACTGAAGATCAAATGAGCTACGGCTTCATTAGTTTTTTCTGCATTGTGTCTGCCATCAAAGAACATGTATCCTCTCTGGTATGAACATAAATTGGAGTGCACATTTTTAAATCCACACCCAAATGCATCATGTGATCCTGTTCCACAGCATGCCAGATTGGTTGTAAAGTACCCTGCACCAAAACCATCCAAACTCATATCATATATACATATATGTACACTTTCTTCACATATATAATTTCCCCATGATGGGTATTATTAATTACTCACTGTAATTATTGGGTCGGGCCATTCTTCGGAGGCTTGAATTGAAGTAATCATAAATGATGTAGTTGAAACCATCTAATGTTTCTGATAAGTTCTCCAATGTCTCCGACAGAAGCTGGTTGTGCTGAGCAGCAAGATTTGATGCCAATGGAAGACAAAAGTTTCCCGTTTTGAAGTCTTGTTTCACAATTGGCAGACACCCAAGCGGTGCCAAGTTCTGGAATGCAAATTTCCTTCCTCCCAATCCGTATATCGCCTGCAAATTCACATTACCCAGTTCATATAATCATCTCCTGCCCCCTATATATACACTTATATGCGTTATCTACATCTGGGTACGTATGTATATGTACACACCAAGAGCTGATCCTTCAATTTGGCGATAACTTGACTGACAAAAGCTTCTTGCTGCTGAGCAGTGGCATTGAGGTTGGCGTTGGTGTAGTTCAAGTAATCATTGGCGCCTATATAAAACATGTAAATACCCTTTTGACGCTGTGCATCAGTCCATGTGCTCTTAATCTGAGCAAATGCTTTGACTTGATCGCCCAGAGTCAACTGAAATTAAACCCAATAAATTAATTAATTACCCATTAATCACATAAATTAATTCTTAAAATTACTTAATTAATTCATACCGTTTGAGGGGGTGTACCCAGAATAGTTGCATCGGCAGTGGCAAAGGTAACTCCGCTGGAGAAATTTGCAGACCTATCAAGAACCGGCGGAGGGAATGGAATTCCCAAGAACTCAGCTGCATGTACATATATAATTAATTAGTGTATATACATATATAGTAATTGTTACTGATATGGGTATTAGAGAAATGTACCAATGAAGTCAGGGACGATACGGCCATCAGACCATCGGCCATTAGGGAAGTCAATGGACAAGCCATAAGGCCAGAAAGTAGAAGGGACGTCTGTAGCGAGAAAAGGCTTGTTGCCATTATCATACAGAGAGTCTCCAAAAATAAAGAGTTGCTGAGCGTTACAGCTTATTGGAAGAAGAAGAGGAAGAAGAAGAAGGCTTAACCCCAAAAACTGACCACTTGGCTTCTCCATGGTCTACTCCTAGATCTCTTTTATCTCTCACTTTTTTGTTCACCGCTGCTCTATATTGCTCCCTATATATAGTGCTTAATCACTGTTGTATGTGTCTATAGGGGAATCTTCTACATTATATCTTAATCCTAAATGTATTATTATAATTTCCCATTTAAAGCTTTTTCTTGCTGCATGTTTCACGTTTTTTGATACTGTAAATGGTCCTGCAATATTATATATATGTATACATTATAGTTATCTACAGAAGGTCAGTTGGGTGAGATCTGGAAGTGGCTCTGTATATTATTCTTAATTGAAGAACGAGAAGACGTATAAAAACAAAATATTTTCCTAATCCTAATCATTAATGAACTGTTTAAAAGTTTGAATTAGCAGTTGTTGAGTATATGGTAAAAATGATCGACCATTATTTTAACTCATCGTTATGTGAGCATATAATATATATACATTGCAAGTTGTATCTTTGAATTTTACTTCAAAAAAGTTGCCTTCAAAAGTATATATTAATATGCTACCTGTATATTTCTATTAATAGCATATTATAAATCTCATTTTATAATGATAGTTTGTATTTATTATATAAATAATTTTTTATTAATTTTCTTTTTGAAAATAAAAAGATTAAATTATATTTTCAATTTATTATGATTATCCAAATAAAAAAATTTAACCGTCATAAAATATTTATTTTAAATCAAAACTATAATAAACTCACTAAATTTAACATAATTTAATTATTATGATTTCTTAACATTTTGTTTAGAAACGTAAAATACTTATTTAAATTTAATATAATTTAATTATTATATAGTCACTAAATATATTAATGAAATAAATTTTTAATTTTATTAAAATTAAATATTATAAATTAGTTATTGTTAATTTATAATATATTTATAAAATAATAAATTTTATAATTTTAATTATAATTAAATTTATAATTTTTAAATAAAATATTTAATAGATAATTTTTTTTTTCATTTGGTTCGAAAATAAGCTTGTAATGGCCCTTAAATAGAGCCATGTAGCTAATTGGCCAGAGCCTCCATTGATGTATTAGGTTCAATGCCCAGTTACGTCAACAAGTAATAATAATAATATTATTAATTAATTAATTAATTAAAACTCGCTAAAAAATAAAGTAATTAATTACAATTAACTAAAGAAAACTTGATTAAGAGAAATAAGGAGGAGAGATTATTTTCTGTTTGTCAGCCGCATGCTGGCTGCAGATGCGACTGCCTTCAAGGCGTTGATCTTGGAGATTCTTGCTAATCTCAAGTTGATGATCTAATTGCCTATATTACCTGCCTGTGTTTTGGATTAATACACGTAATTGGTAAAAATTATGAAAAGAACTAATAGAGCTCTTATTTTAAGTAAATTTATTTATTATAAGTAAAATTATTTATTGTACACTTATCATAATAAAAATTTCAAAACTGACATATTGAGGTAAATACACAAACAATATCATAATCTCTTATACAATTAACCAGAACATCAACTTTTCTTATTTATCTGCATACTGGTATCCATAGGAGTTCATAGAAATGTCTTTACTACACGTAAACCCTTATTCAACATTTTCAATTAAGCGACCGTCCTATACCCCATCCGGTATAAGCGCCAAAAATACAATCTCTTATACCTCGACTGGTTGTGAGGGGGTGAAACGGGTCACCCCTCATACCCCGTCCGGTATGAACGCTAAAGTACCAATCCTTCTTACCCCGTCCGGTATGAGCGCTAAAGTACCAATCCTCCTTACCTCGTCCGGTATGAGGTAACGTTTATGGTGGGGTTCTCTATGTACCCGATCCGTCGACCATCTCCCAGGATATCCAGTAAGGCTACCATTCATTCACTCAGTTAATCAACAATTTCTCGTTTACATTTAATTTTCAGTTTCACAATTTAACTATAAATCACGCAAAGCAAGCAATACATGCATCAAGGAAACCCCACTAAATCATCTTACCAACTCCAACGTATTATCATGCATTAAAAACTGTAACATCAATCAAATAGGATAAACAGTGAATAATAACCGATTTTGTCTTCATTAGTAACATGTTATTAGTTATCGAGATTTTTTAAATTGTACAAAATACCATATTATTTATAATTCAACTTCAATTCCATAACAATGAATAGGGTGAGAGATTCTTATCCGAATCAGTGTCCGAATGCTAAACTTTTAGCTGCACCTACTGGCAGTCCTCGAATTCTCTAAATTTTTTTTCGAAGATTAAAACACACTCCAAGTACCTAAAAATACATTAAAAAATTCAAAATCAGTGTTAGAAACCCTTTTCGGCCAAGTTCGAAATTCCGTCACGGCGACGGCGCCGTGCTCTGACAATAGTGTCGCTGCCCACGGCGGCAATTTGCCTTGGGTTGATCATTTTCGGTCGATTTTGTGTTCATTCCTGCGAGAAGACACGTTTAAGGGGCCTCGGTTGGTCAAAAAAGTAAAAAAACAGAAGCTTATCAGCGGCGGAGTTTTTCGGTGCGGCGGCTCTGCTGGTTCACCTTCGCGGTTGGGCGTTTTTCTTCGGTTAACCTGTGAAAAATAAAATGGTGAATACAATGGTAGAAAAATTACACGAAACGAGAATCGAGAATGACCTCATTAGAGATAATTTTTGATTTTTCTCGCGGCGGTGCCTTGGGCTTTATCTGCGATTTACGCCTCATCCGTTGGTCATTTTGCTCTGATTTGACCATGGGAGTGTTCAAAATCGAATTTCGAGCAAACAATTTTTTTTTTACCTCTTTTAGCAATTGGAGGTGGCTCCAGCATGGCGACGGGCGGCGGTCGTCTCCTTTTCCAGCGTCTAGTTCTTCTTCTCTGGCAGGAGGTCTGGCGGCTAGGGTTAGGATTTGGTGTGAAGTGAAGTATTTATATCTGTAGCGCCCGGAGAAAAGGGGCCGAAAAAAAAAAAGCCACGTCGGCAGCCACGTCAGCAGGCCCGGTCAGCAATCCCGGCCAACCGGGGCCTGCCACGTGGCAAGACCACGTCACTCCGGAACGGGCCACATTGGCGATCCGCGTGAGCGCGATCGGACGGCCCAGATCAATCGCGCGATCGGACGGCCCAGATGCAATCGCACGGACGACCCAGATTCAATCAAAAACGAACGGCCCAGATTAAAACAAAATGGACGGCTGAGATCAAAAGGCAAGGGGTTATAAATAGAACCCCCACACCGGACCACAAACCCTAGCCGCCTGCCGTTCGCCGGAGAAGACAAACCAGAAACCGGTCGCCGCCACCCGCCGCCGCGCCGGGGAAATTTCCGACCGCCGATCGAGGTAAATTTCATACCCCCGACTCGTTTTTCCACGCTGATTCCTCCTGTGGCCAAATCGGAGCCAAAATCCTGGCCAAACGGCCGGAATACGCGGCCGAAGACCAGCGGCGCCGCCGCGCCCCTTCTCGGTTTTTGCCTCCGATGAGGCCTTTCCCGGCCTCCGTTTGATGCAATTTTTATATCACCGTGATCACAATTCTTTTCTCTACAGGTTGACCGGAGCCGAATCACCAAAACACGAACCTCGCCAGAGAGCCGCCGCACCCGAGAGTGCCGCCGCCGGTAAGCTCCGTTTTTCCGTGATTTTTTGGCCCCCCGAGGGCCCTAGGGTTGTTTTCTCGCAGGGACCGATGCAAGTGTGGCCGAATTCAGCCAAAAATGGCCGAAAACAGCCAACCCGAGGCGAATCGCCGCCGTGTCGGAGTTGCGATATTGGCCAAAAAGGGGCCCTGGGCCTAATTTGAGATTTTTTGGAACACGTGCAGGTACCGTTAGTGCGTTTCAGTTCCCCGGAAAAAATTCAGGGAAAATTAGGAACAGCCTGTAGGCGCACTGTGAATCGTATTCGAATCCCGAAAACAAGTAAGGACCCCTCACCCTATTTCCTATCACGGTATTAAAGTTCAAAATGATAAAACGGTATTTCTTGAATTAACGAATGTGTGAAATTGCTTAAGGTGGCTAATGGAGCCCGAGTCTAGTGTGATTGGTGATTTACTGTTATTTGGCCTGTTTACAGCTTTAAATGCAGCATGAGGTTTGATGTGTTCATTTTACAGATTTGTGTGCATATACTACGTTTTTATTAATTATGGGTTGAATGACCGGGATACTGATACTGTATGTTGTCTGTTTGGCATGAATTACGATTTGCTTGTTTAAATGTGAATTGATGATGCTGACTGAGGAAAAGGAAAATAAAAGATTGTGTAGACTGATAATTGTATTATGGGGTCAGCCTGACTAGATATCCTGGGAGATGGTGGACGGACCGGGTCTGTAGGGAACCCTACCGGGATTATGGTCTCACATGCCGGACGGGGCATGGAGATCTTATGGTTTTGGCGCCCATACCGGACGGGGTATGGGGACGGCCCGTTTCACCCTCATACCGGACGGGGTATTGAGGTTTATGGTTTTGGCGCCCATACCGGACGGGGTATGGGGACGGCCCGTTTCACGCTCATACCGGACGGGGTATTGAGGTTTATGGTTTTGGCGCCCATACCGGACGGGGTATGGGGACGGCCCTGGAAACTGATTATGAATGTTAAAGGTTAACGGGTAGCGGGACCCCTATGGACCCCCACGGATACTAGTAAGCTGGTAAATGAGAAAAAGATATGTTGTATAATGATTGAATTACAAGAGGCGTGATAAGTGTTATGTTTTACAGCTTATATTATTCTATGATTATGATAATGTTATTGTTTTTCTTATATTGTTTCATAAATTCCACCGAGGTAAGTGGATGGTAAAGGTTTTATCATAAATAAAAGAATTTGTTGTAAAACATGCTCCATGGGTCCTTTGTGTTTTCTACCCACCTTTACCTCCGTGACGGTGAGATATCGTGATGTTCTTATTGGGCTAGTGTAGCTCACTCCTTATTTAACCATTTCAGATCAGGAAGACATGGTTCCCGAGCCCGTTCCGCAGGAGGACGACGAAAGGGATGCCTAGAGACTCTGTAGTCATAATCATAGCTTTATTTTCGAGTTTCTCTTTTAGTTAGTTTAATCTTTTATAT